AACTGTCCTTGCAAGAACAGCTCTGACAGAACTATGGCTTGCCCAAGGTCATCCAGCTGCTGCAAGTGGAGGATTGGGGAATCAAACCCGGTTCTCCCAGCACTTAACCGCTACACCAAAGCCCCACCAAGTGGTGGCAAACCCAAGAGGGTGGGGTGGAATGGGCTGCAGGGCAGAGCGGGACTGTTCTGCCACAGGGACGATAGCTTGGGGGGGAAATAAAAATGAAGTGGTTTGCAAATGTGGATCCATTAGTATTCCAACTGATGTAGACAGAAAAAAAAAACCCACACAAAAAACTGGACAGTATATTTTTCCCAAGCCCAGAATTGCTTCATAATAATTTTTGTGAAATGTTAAAAAACCCCACCATAAAATGAAAGTAAAAAAATCTGTCAGAATAGCCATGGAAGGTGGCTGCTGAGTCCAAGTTGATGTGTTGAAAATGATTCATCAGCTGCCTCAGGGACAACAGTGGGAGGGCTTCTGGAGTTCTGGCTTCACTGGTGGACCTCCTGATGGCCCCTGGTTTTTGGCCACCGTTTTGCTACGGAGTGTTGCGCTGGATGGGCCAATGGCCTGATCCAGTATGGCTTCTCTTATGTTTTTATGCCTGGGGCAGTGATGCTCTATCTTCTTGGTGCTTGGGGGGCAACAGTGGGAGGGCTTCTGGAGTTCTGGTCCTGCTGCTGGACCTCCTGAGGGCCCCTGGGTTTTGGCCACCATGTGACACAAGAGTGTTGGACTGGGATGGGCCATTGTCCTGATCCAACATGGCTTCTTTCTTATGTTCTTATGTCTGGGGCAGGGATGCTCTGTCTCCTTGGTGCTTGGGGGGCCACAAGGGGAGGGCTTCTGGAGTTCTGGCCCTGCTGGTGGACCTTCTGATGGCACCTGGGTTTTGGCCACTGTGTGACAGAGTGTTGGACTGGATGGGCCATTGGCCTGATCCAACACGGCTCCTCTTATGTTCTTATGACCACTGCTTGACAGGGCAGGGGGAAATAAGCATTTTGTACCCTGAAAATCCTGTTGGTCTTTGAGGTGCTACCAGACTCTAATCTTGCTGTGCTACTGTGCAGGCCAGCATGGTTACCCACCTGAAACTATTTTATCCTGTATTTTTATCCTGTAGAGAGCCAGTTTGGTGTAGTGGTTAAGTGCACGGACTCTAATCTGGGAGAACCGGGTTTGATTCCCCCACTCCTCCACTTGCATCTGGCTGGGTGACCTTGGGCAAGCCGTAGTTCTGATAAGAGCTGTCCTTGAAAAAGAGCAGTTTCTGTCAAGAGTTCTCTCGGCCCTACCCACCTCACAGGGTGTCTGTTGTGGGGAGGGGAAGGGAAAGGAGTTTGTGAAGTGCTCTGAGACTCCTTTGGGTAGTGAAGGGCGGGGTATAAATCCAATCTCCTCTTCTTCTTCTTTTACCTCACAGGGTGTCTGTTGTGGGGAGGGGAAGGGAAAGGAGTTTGTAAGCCGCTCTGAGATACCTTTGGGTAGTGAAGGGTGGGGTATAAATCCAATCTCTTCTTCTTCTTCTTCTTCTTCTTCTTCTTCTTCTTCTTCTTCTTCTTCTTCTTCTTCTTCTTCGTCTTCTTCTTCTTCTCCTCTGTGGTTTTGTGTTATATCACCCTTCCTTCAAGAAGCTCAGGGGGACTGGGGCAGTTTTCTGCCTTCCTCAGTTCTGTGTACACAACAGCCCTGCCAGGTAGGTGAGGATGAGAGAAAGTTGACTGGCTCAAGGCCAAGTGAAGCTTTGAGCCCCAGGACTACCTGAGACTTGTTCTGTGTGTGTTCAGTACCGCCAAGTCACTTCCGACTTTGGGCGACCCCATGAATTAACTTTCTCCCAGACTTCCTGTCCTTAACAGCCTTGCCCAGGTCTTGCAAACCGAGGGCCAGCGGCTTCCTTGATGGGGTCCACTTATCTATCTTGTGTCGGGTCTTCCTCTTTTTTCCTGCAAGACTTTTATCTTGCCTTTCGAATCACTCTGCCGCTCTCTCCCTCTTCTTGCCCTGAAAAATGGGTCTCCATTAAAGATCTAATTGGGAGCAAAACGGGGGCAATTACCGATAACGACAATGGCTTCCCATTTGTGAAGGCTGCTCTGCGTGGGAAAAGATTAAAAAGCGCCGAAGAGAACTCCAGCCGATGTTGTTGCATAACAGGCGCGATATTATTTTCCGGCACGTCAGTTGTTGAACGATATCCTTAATATTTATAGCCCCCGTCTAATTAGAAGTCGAGGTATTTTGAGAAACGCTCTGTGTGTTTTTTTAGATTCAGGTGGGGAGCCGCGTGGGTCTGAAGCGACAGAACAAAAGTCTGAGTCTGCCGGCGCCTTTAAGGCCAATTTTTTTTAAATTCCCTGTTTTTCATTTTCTTCCTTGCCTTCAAAATCTCCTCCTCCAGGATCGGAGGCTTGGGACAGCCGATTTCTCCTCGCTCCTGTTTTCCAGCCAGCCTGGTTGTCGTGGTTAAGAGCAGGGGACTCTGATTTGGAGAACTAGGTTTAATTCCCCGTTCCTCCTCTGCATGAAGCCTGCTGGGTGACCTTGGGCCGGTCACAAGTTCTCTCCAAACTCCCTACCCCACTTACCGCACAAGATGCCTGTTGGGGGGAAAGCAGGGGAAGGAGATTTTAAGCTACTTTGAGACTCCTTAGGGTTGAGAAAAGCGGGATATATAGAGGAGGAGGAGATTGGATTTATACCCCGCCCTTCACTCGGGGTCTCAGAGCGGCTTACAAATGCCTTTCCCTTCCCCTCCCTACAGCAGGCACCCTGTGAGGTAGGTGGGGCTGAGAGAGCTCTCTCTCGAATTGCTCTTGAGAGAACAGCTCTGAAAGAACTTGTGACTGACCCGAGGTCACACCAGCAGCTGCATGTGGAGGAGTGGGGACTCAAACCCGGTTCTCCCAGATTAGAGTCCGCACACTTAACCACGGCACCAAACCTACTCTTCTTCTTCCTTTTAACTGACTCTCAACTGCTTTTTAAAAAATTATTTTTATTTAAAAACTTTAAACTTCACATACATACTGGGGGGAAAGACACAATGGACACAGCATCTCAAAGCTGTTTAATAAGATAGCAGCGACAATGTAGAATTAGTAACACTGTAAAATAAGTTCCCTCATTACGAGGGCTGTTTCACTGAGGCATCCAAATCCTTTTATTGTCTTCTCTGATGATTTACGGCGGTTTAGGCTGTCCTTGGACTGCAAGGAGACCAAATCAGTCAATCCTCAAAGAAATCAACCCTGACTGTTCCCTGGAAGGCCAGATAATGAAAGTGAAGCTCAAATGCTTTGGCCACCAAATGAGAAGGGAGCACTCACTGGAGAAGACCCTGATGCTGGGAAAGATTGAAGGTCAAAGAAGACGGGGACGGCAAAGGATGAGATGGTTAGACAGTGTCATAGATGCAACAAACATGAATGAACATGAAATTGAGCCAACTTCAGAGGACGGTGGAAGACAGGACGGCCTGGCGAGATCTTGTCCATGGGGTTGCGAAGAGTTGGACTCGACTGTGCGACTGAACAACCTCTGACTCTTATAGATTTTTCACAGGATTCCCCCCACCCAACTGCTTTCAATAGTCTGTCCCTCCAGATCGGGCTCAGTCCTTATCAAGAATTTTTTGCGTTTTTTTTTGCAAAGTTGAAGGGATTCCGGTTTCATCTGATTAATTTACAACGTTGTGTTTTTCTGTGGAGGTCCCTACCCGGTCCGTGGTTAGCTCTGTTGTATGGATTTTGTCGTCTGCACAGGGGTCGGCCCGTTTCCCAGTGGATGTCTAGCCTGTATCGCATTTTGATCCTGTTGTTCCTCCAACGGTATCAGGGTGGGCATAGATGGCTCTCTCCCATAAGAACATAAGAGAAGCCAATGTGGGATGGGCCATTGGCCTGATCCAACATTGGCTTCTCTTATGTTCTTATGGGAGAGAGCCATCTATGCCCACCCTGATACCGTCCAACACTGTCACACAGTGGCCCAAAATACCAGGTGCCATCAGGAGGTCCAGCAGTGGGGCCAGAACACTAGAAGCCCTCCCACTGCCCCCCCCAAGTACCAGGAATACAGAGTTCTTGTCTTGTGAGATAAAGGAGAAATGTACTTCTTTCTCGACCTGCTCTATCCCATGCATAATCTTGTAAACCTCGATCATGTCACCCCTCAGCCGTCGTTTCTCCAAGCTAAAGAGCCCCAAGCGTTTTAACCTTTCTTCATTGGGAAAGTGTTCCAACCCTTTTATCGTTCGAGTTGCCCTTTTCTGCACTTTTCCCAATGCTAGAATATCCTTTTTGAGGTGTGGTGACCAGGACTGTACTTTTTGTTGTTGTTGTTGTTGTTCAGTCGCACAGTCGAGTCTGACTCTTCGCGACCCCATGGACCACATCACGCCAGGCCCTCCTGTCTTTTGTCGTGCTCCGGAGTTTGCTTAATTTCATGCTCGTTGCCTTGATAACACTGTGTAACCATCTCATCCTTTGCCGTCCCCTTCTTCTTTGACCTTTGATTGAAGGTCAAAGAAGAAGAACTGTACACAGTACTCCAAATGAGGTCACACCATTGATTTATTCAGGGGCATGATGATACTGGCTGATTTGTTTTCAGTTCCCTTCCTAATAATCCCCAGCATCACGTTGGCCTTTTTTATTGCAGTCGCACACTGTCTCGATATTTTCAGTGAGTTATCTACTACGACTCCAAGATCTCTCTCTTGGTCAGTCTTTGGGTTTGATTTCTTCCTTCCCTCTTATCCTCACAACAGGCTCAGGTTCCTCTCGGTCTGAGATAGGTGAGGTCGACACAGGGTGACTGGCCCGTGGTCCCCTAAAGAGCATTGTGGCCGAAGGGAGATTTGAACTCAAGTCTTAGTCCTTTTCTCCGCCCACTACACTGCGTCAGTTTTTTTAAAAAATGCTTGTGTTGCCTTCCTGAAAATGGCTCCTCTTGTTGTAATACTCGCTGCTCCATGCTCCTCCCAGGTGATGTGGCTGCCTGATGCAGAAGAAAGGCTGGTTCAGGTTTCTCCAGGGTTCCAGCAGACCGCCAGCACCAAGGCCGACGCGCAGAAGTTGCGGGATGAAGGCTTCCAAAAACTGAATCTGCGGTACACCAAGGTCACCAGTGAAGATATCAGGTTCTGCTTTTTGGCTTCTGCTGCTGCAAAATTTATTTGCTTTAATTTATCTACGTTATTCATAGTCCGCTTTTTCTCAATGGGACTACAGGCAAATTACACAGAATAAGTCAAAATTCAAAGTCATTTATTATGGAATTACACCAGCATGAAACACAAAGAATACAATATGCCATGGTCATCCCCCAAAATCGTTAAAAGTTTCAGATAAAACCAGGGGTCATTTCGTAGAAAAAGAGGTGCAGGGGCTCATTAGCATAACTCGTTAGCATGCCTCATTTGCATATGCCACGCCCCCTGACATCACCGGAAGTGTGTCAGAAGGCAACACCCACCGCTCAGGCTCCACTGGACTGTTTTGGATTGCTATCTATTGGGGGGGGGCGTGCAGATCTGTCCTCGCAGAGGAGGGAGAGCTTGTACCTGAATAAAACTTGGTCTTAAAGGTGCCACTGGACTGTCTTGGACTGGGGGGCTGGGGGGAGCTCTGCAACTCATCTGGCTTCTTCTTGCTCTGACTGAGGGCTGCTGGGAGCAGGGGGCGGGGCTTGTTGCATGTGCCCGCCCCCTGGGCTCTTTACTGTAGGAGCTCAGCTCCTGTGCGCCCCTGCAGGAAATGACCCCTGGATAAAACTATAATGAACTTTGTATAAGAAATTGTAAATAACAGTCCAATAATACATGGGGATATATTGTAAGAGAAGGATTTTAACCTTTAAGACTTATTGGGGAATGTCGTTCTTCATGTTTCCGTTTCCTTACTTTCTTGAATGTTCGGTCAAGTTTCGCGGGCTGCTGCACAGAATTTCGCACCCAGTGCAGTCACCTGCGACTTTTCTCCCAGGTGCAACATTTTAACAGAATAAGTCAGTGCATTCGACAGGATGGGCCATTCAGTAGGATTTGACTTGTAGAAATCCGGAACCAACCAGAGATATTAAGCTGAGGTTAAGCAAAGCAAAGCATAACTATAAAGAAGATGCATTCGCCAATGCAAAAATTACATAGTAGAAACCTACGTACAGCAGCAAATAGTATGAACTATACAAAGCGGTATAGTCTACAGTCCCTAACCCTTTAATCCCAAAGTTCTTTTTGAGCCCTTTTGTTACAGGACAGCCCTGTTTCCTGTACAAAAAGCCTCTTCACCACCCCCCAAGTTTCCCTCCTTGGTGCAGTGTTCTATCAGGTCATCTTAGGGACTACATTTCCCATGGTACACTTGAGCAGGACGCCTCTGATGCAGCTGGTGCTGGGCAAATGGCAGGAGGAGGAGAGAGAGGCTCTCTGCTACCCAATTAGCTGCCTGGATGGCTTGACAACTGTCTGGCCCTCTAGTTCCCACCAGCTTGGGTCTGGCCACAGCAGCCCTGCAGAAGCGGTGAGCGTTGCATATATGTGTGGGCGAGGGTTTCCATATACCCACTGGGGAGTGGGAGATCTCCCACCCCCAGAGTCCATTGCCCACCAGCAGGAGAATTTAAAAAAAAATCACTATCAGCAACAGCATGACATCACTTCCTGGGAAAACCTGGCAGCGACATCAGTCCTCTCTAGGAATCGGCAGTAATTGAAGCGATTCCTCGAGAGGACTGACATCACAGCTGGGTATTTTCTGGAAATGACATCATGCTGACAACACCCCTCCTTATATCCCCCCATGGATCCCTATCAGCAACCCTATCAGCTTAGAGGGAACACTGGTCTGAAGCAGCAGCATGCGCTGCGTGTGGAAATTAATTGTTGCACACCATGAGTACAATGCCAGACTTTCAGCTTTGTTTCAGATTTCTGCAGTTCTGATCCTAGTACGTTGCTTCAGGCCCGTAGCCAGGATTTGTTAATTCGGGGGGGGGGGCTTTAAATAAGTCAGGGGGCACCCTGCAGACACCCCCAAGGGAGCACCTGGGCTGGATGGGAAGTTGGGGGGGCCTTGGTGGTAAATCAGGGGGCCGGGCCCCGAGATGCCCCACTGTAGCCACGGGCCTGCTTTGCTTATTGGAGATCCTTTCCTGTGGATTGTGTTGATTTACACTGTGTAATCTGCCCTGAATCTCTGTGAGAAATGGCAGATTACACAGATTAAATAACATCAATAAAAAGTCCCGCTTGTGTTGTTTGGCTGCTGGCCAATTGATTGCTACACCAGATAGATGGACCTTGATACAACTCAGGCAAGGGATGATTCCACTCCAATCACCTTCAGAGTCCCTGCTTTGAGTATCCCTGCCACCCGAGGCTAGACAGGTGGCAACCCAAGAAAGGACTTTCTCAGTCATGGTACCAAACCTTTGGAATTCCCTCCCCTGGGAGATTAGTCTTATCGGTATGTTCCACCAGCAGGTGAAGACTTTTGTGTTTCGTTTGGCATACCCCCGATAATGGTTATTGTCCTCCTCCCTGGTTCTGGCATTGTATGTTTATGTGTTTTTATTGAATTATTTTATAATTTTGAATGCTGTTTTTAAGTCGTTCAAGTGTTTTCCTATTCACCGCCTTGGGGTGAACAGGTGGAAAGGCAGCTTAAAAACCTTTTAAAATAAAAATATAGGTATTACACATAGCCAGCCTTTCTCGCTGAGACACGCTGGGACTTGTGGCAAACTGCAGAATAATGGTACTGTAAATCGTACAGTATCCAGCATAAGACATCCACTGAACAGTGCAGTAGGACTCGAAATACAAAATTCGAAGACAAGCGAACGACGATAAGCGCAAACAGCCGAAAGTGAAGCTGTTGGGTAACCAGTGCCGAATGTGGATTGGGAGGCGTAAGGCAATATAGTAAAAACCAGATGATACCAACAATAATAGATTCAGGAAGGGAAGCCGTGCTGGTCTGCAGTAGAAGGACAGGATTCGAGTCCAGTAATATGGTAGAGACCAACACGATTTTCATGGTATCCGATGAAGGGAGCTTTGACCCTTGAAAGCCTGGAAATCTTATTGGGCTGTAAGGCGCTACTGGACTCAATTCTTACAATAATAGAGGATACCTAGGGCGGGACTGGCTATTTAAGTTACCAGGAAAGTTCCCGGTGGGCCACTCCCTTGGAGGGCTGCAGGAGCAAACAAAGCCAAGCCATTGTTGCTCTACTTAGTGCTGGAAGGGGTACTCAGCCGGGCTTGTTCCTGGCCAGTCCATGGCTGGATGATGCCAACCATCCCCCATTACAGTGGACTCCAAATATGTTCCCGTAGGAATGTGTCCTCCCGGACTGTTCCTCTCAATACAGTTCTGTTTCCCGTTAGAAGAATGCCCCGCTGAATGTTTCCGTTTTGCATTTTGCTGAATGATAAAACCGAGGGAGCCCCTAGCTGCTTCTAAGACCTGCCCTTTCGCCCCTCCAACAGGGAGTACGCGGCCGCTAATCTGAGCGTGAACCTGTACACCGTGAACGAGCCGTGGCTTTACTCTGTCCTGTGGTGCGCCGGAGTTCAATCCGTCACCTCCGATAACTCTCACGCCCTCAGCAGGCTGACTTCTCCCCTCTGGCTAATGGTAAGTGGGCTTAGCTTTGCCGGAGTTTCTCCCCGGGCCTGTTCCAAGCACCCTGGGGTAGTGGTGGGTGGGTCATCGTGGTAGCGTTCCCGATTCTCCTACCAACTCTGCAAAGGTTGGTTATACCGTAAGCAGCCATAGGCATCTGGCTGCCTACTACTGAAGACAGAACGCAGGACAAGGTTACTCTTTGGTGTGGATGCTGAAGGCATTTTTTATGTCGGGGGTTGTGGGGAGGTAGGGTTGCCAATTCCTGGTTGGGAACTCCTGGAGATTTGGGGGAGTGGAGACTGGGAAGGGGCGGGAACTTCACTGAGTATAGTGCTCTAGAATCCATCCTCCAAAGGAACCGTGTCCTCCGGAGGAACTGACCCTCTGTCGTCTGGAGATCTGCATGTCCCGCCTGGAGGCTGGCAACCCTGGGGGGCTGGAAGGACGAGGGAAATATTTACCTATAGTAGGAAATGTTATGAGCCGAACAACTCAGTAGGGGGCACCTGATTTGCATGCGGAAGGTCCCACATTCAGTCTCGGGCATCTCCAGTTAAAAAAGGGTATCTTCGATAGCCAGGTTCAAGGGACAGCTGTTTCTCTGCTCAAGGCCCTGGAAAGCTACTGCCAGGCCGAGTGACCAGTGCTGAGCTAGATGGACCCGAGGGCCTGGAGTCTGTACAAGGCAGTCCTATAGATTCCCTAACCGTTATCTATGCTGCAACCCATTTTCTCGTGTTGGATGCAATCTACTTCCAGCAAGGCAGCATCCCTGAGCTTTCTGGAGGGCTTTACCACACACGTGCCTCATTCCATGCAGCCTGGACACTATGCTCTTATTCTTTTTCAGCACTGGGGGGGCTATAACACCATTTGGGCCTCATCCATCAATCATCCAAATATGCCGCTGCCACAACTCCTTCCTGCCTGGAATTACGAATTTGGTGGTTTCTGGTTGCCATCTAGTGGTTCGGTCTTCTTCTGAGATTTGTTGAGCCTCTGGCTTTTTCATTGGTCTTCTTTCATAGACGAATCCAACCAACATTTCAAATTCATTGGGGGGGGGATGATTTTAATTGGCGGGTCCGTGACTTAACGAGGATACTTAGATTTTGTGGCTTTTCCCGTTCGTGGGGGATTGATCTAATGGGGAATGGAAAAAAGGGTTCTCTTTCCTTCTAGCAACAAACGGTAGAAATGGTTAAATTGTAAGTTATCCCTTCCATTGTTATCCTCCCCTAAAAAAATCCCTCACACCTGTATTGGGGTTTTGATCCCTCCTTAAGTTCTGGGGCATGGCTCAGTTCCCCTTCCCATCCATTTTTGCCCCACCTCAGCGAGGGCAGAGGGCAATTCAACAGACCCTTGTCTGTTTCCCCCAGCAGGCCATAGTCCACCCCCATCTAGTAAATGATAGTTTTTTTTCACCCAACAGTCCAGATTTGGGAGTTGGTATAAATAAGCATATTTGGTCTCTTGTTTGACCAGTTTTATTATTCCAACTTCTGGAATTTGGCTGTTCCAGATGCACAGTTGGGGGGGGAAAGAGGGCTTAGGAAATCAAGTCTGCAATGTGAGTACAACTCCCCTCCCCCCCAATTTAGACGGAGAAATAATCCCTGCAATGGATGTACTAACGCAAAGGTCTCTGGGCATCTTTGTCTTTTTGTCTTCCAGCCTCTGGATGAGTACTATCTAATCTGGATAACAGCCGATCTCATTTCATTTACCGTAATTGTAGGCGTTTTTATATTCCAGAAGTAAGTAGCTGTCTCTGCAGGTCAACTCTCCTTTGTTATGTGAGCCTTGTTATTCAGCCCCAACTGTGCCTAGGGGGATGCGGAAGGGGGTCATGGAAACAGCTGTCCAAGGGTAATCACTGTCATCACTCCTTCGTGGCTCCACGTCATGCTGCTCTGGTAGAGAATGCAGAAAGCCCATGGGGAGGGCACGGTAAAGTGGGAAGGATCATGTATCATTGGCCATAGCCAGGGCTGCGATCTTTCCATAGAGGCTCTTAGGAGTCTCTGCCTCTCCCATGTGGGTTCTTTACTCTTGGGCTACCAGAATACTGTGGAAGACTCATAGGCAGGCCCGTAGCTAACGCGGGGCCCGCGGGGCCTGGCCCCCTAGTGTTTCTTCCGGGCCTCCTCACTCCTGGGCTGGGCCTAGATTGAGTTAATGTGATTAACTTTTATTTAATTAGCTGCTCCCCCCCAAGGCCCCCTCCCCCCAAATCCCTAGCTATGGGGCTGCCGGGGCAGGGCAATAGCAATGCCACACCGATAACAGAACACTCACCCCAGAGAATGCATCCAGAGGAGCAGAGAAGTGTAAGGGATGTATCACTTCCAAAATGCCTATTCTGGGAAGGAGATCTTTTTCTTAAAATTCCTGTCTCTCATACTCTCCCCACATGTGAAATACTAACATATCAAGAAGGCAGATTCTTAGCATAGACCTCCTTCTTGACTTACCGGTTTTCCGTATATGGGGGGGGAGCTTTGACATGAGAAGGGTTTAAAAGGAAACCCTGTGCATGCTTTGTGAAGTGGAACAGTCCTCCAAGAGCTATACCACTTACCTTTTGTTTTAAATATTTGGATTGGTTTTGAAGATATCCCTTTCCTGGGTGGAGACAGAAATTTGTGTCCAGGACTTTGAGGCTCCTCCAGAAGGTTTACGGAGGAGGAGAGATTCAGGGGTTACAGTGGGTAACGAAATGTACAGCTTTAGTCCACCTTTGGCACTAGATCTCATTTTATCTTCCCTGTGGCTTCTAAAGTATGGGAAGGTTCCAGTAGCCCTCACTTTAGTCCTGGGTGGAGGGGAGGTGTTGTGGCTCAGGTGGGGTGTCTCCTGACGCTGCCACCACTCTGGTTTTAGATTCCCTTGAGAAGGCCCAGAGCACCCTCCCAAGACCTTCAGACCTCCCTTATTTGGCCGAATACTATGCGTGAGGACCAGGCAGAGTCAACAACAAATTAAAGGCTTATTTTTATAGGAGGTCAACCCTATATGGGAAACGAACAAGGTGCAAGATAAAGGTTTATTTTTATAGCAGGTCAGCCCTATATGGGAAACGAACAAGGTGCAAGAACAATAGCAATAAGTGGGTGAAGAGAAAAGGAACCAAATGCCTTAACACAACTAGACTCACAGTCCCTAGCTCACTGTCGCAGTTGGACCTCAGTCTACTCACCCTTCCTCTCGGGGTGAGGGTCTCTCCCAGCAGCAGCCTTCCCTCTGGCCCTGCTCTCTTGGAAGAAAGAACAACTCTTCTTCTGTATCAGCTCTTTTATTATAAGTCCCCTTTCTCTGTGATTGGCTAAACTTGGTGCCAAAACCTCTCAGGGGTTTCTGGGAGTTGTAGGCCTATCCTCCTCCCACTGCTACTCAGGCTTCCTGGGCCTCCTGGGCCTCTAGTTGCACAGCCCAGATCATGACAGGAGGAAATAACAGTTTTGGAGTTCCAGGTACCCCAGTTAGCAGAGAGATTAAAAGTCTGTGAAGAACGTGGGACAGGGTAATGGTAGATGGTCAGAGGTCCGGGATGCTGGTCACCAACAATTTTGCCCAGAGGTTCACTGTGAGCAGGACTGGCGAGTTGAAACAGCTCAGGTGCAAACAGAGATCAGACTTAGCGGGGGTCCCTGAAAGAAGAGAAGGTCCCCAACCACGCAAGGCAAGGACATGAGCATTTCTAAAGGAGAGCCAGATTTGAGTGAAATCAGGGGAATCGTAACAGGGCAGTTCTATCGGGGAGTCTGCTGCTGGAGAGAATGTGAACCTCCCAGTCCCGCAGCCGTTCTAGCAAAGGTTTAGGAGGTTTACGAGGCCAATATCCTGCTGTGGGGCAGAGGGCGGGGTTCGAAGGGATGGGGCAGGCCACGCCCGCTTTAGGCTCCACCCCCTTCCGTGTCATTGGTTCAGAAATGCCTTTTGCTCTCTTCCGCATTGTTAACTTTGCTAGAGGGTGGAGAATTGTGTACCACTATGGCTCTTGGTGCCTTCTTGCCTTGTTTATTTTCTTACTGCTCTGACGTTGCATGTTCCTCCTCTCTCTTTTTTGTCTCTCTCCCTTTCTCTTTTCTCTCTCTCTCTCTGCTGCTGCATCTTGATATCTTTACAGCTATCACATAATCAGGTAATTTCTGATGCCTCATCCCACCTTCCTTCTCTTTTTTTTATTTTTCCTTTTTACCACATTGCTGCGAATTTGGGCTTGTCCGTAGGATGGATTCCTTACAGCGGCTAAGAAATCCACTCGAGGGTCTCATTGCTGAAAGCTTCATGGGACAGAATGTGCATGTGGGTCTGGAAATTGGGTTAGGTAGTCTTTTGCGAGGATCCGAGCATAATTCTCAAATGAGTGTGTCTTGAGGGCAACTGCTGTTGTATTGCAAGAAATGGAAATCTTTTTTTTTTTTTGCTCCCCAATGGGGAATTTTTAATTGCATTTTTATTAAAACTGCAAACTGTAACAGAAATAAGGAAGGGGACTACATTTAAGGGGATAAAGAAAAGATACCCACTACTGACTAAAAACCCAAGAGAGGAGATCTTCTAATCAGCTTGAATTAGGGTTGCCAAATTGTTTTCGGCCGGGAGCGGGGGGCTCCCGGCTGCCGTCTGGGGTGCGCGCGCGCGTCACCCGGATGTGACGTCGCACGCTGGGGGCGGGGCCACGGCCCTTTCAGGGGAACACATAGAGTTTTCCCCTCAAATGGCTGTGGCCCGCCCCCATGAAAAAAGAAAAGAAAAGAAAAGAAATTGATTATGGAATGTTTTATTTTAACATGATAAATAAAATATTTTAAGACAAGGTGTTCAAATATTTTCCAAATCATTTCTAAAATATATAATGGTATCAGATTGATCTAATTTCTGTGCACTGAGGACAAGCAAGTCCTAGGTTACAAACTGAACTCTCCAATGCAAGAACAAGATGCATTTCTTCCTTTAGGAGGTGCGATTGTCAGAAGCAAATAAAAAGGTTTCAGTTTTGTTTTTGCATGTGGGTGGGTATTCTGTTTGTAATAATTGTTTGGGTACACTATATTTTTAATATGCTAGTTGTGATAATTTCATGCCAAGTAAAAATGTCCATAGTCATTTTTTATGTTCCTAAAGTAACAGAATGACTTTCAATCTAGAAAAGACAAAAGAAATGCTAATGTAGCATTTTTTTCAATTTTTCCGAAAATTTCCATTTCCCCCCGAAAAAAACCGGAAAAAAAACGGGTTTTTTCCTGAGCTTCAAAATTTCCGGAAATTTTACATCTCTAGGCCCGCCCCCAGCGTGCAACGTCACATCCGGGTGACACGCACGCGGGGGTGGGGTTTCCCCCGGGCCCGATTTTTTCGCATCAAAAATCAGGCCGTCAAAGCTGGGGATTCCCCGCCCCCCAGCCCCATTTGGCAACCCTAGCTTGAATACACATCTAGTCTTAATTGTATTAATCTCATTACAAACGGAGTCACATATTCTGTTAACTTTTCCCACATCTTAAATTTAACTGATAAGGAAATACCCCAAAGCATCTCAATTCAAAAATTTTCAAAGGAAATCTCCTAGGATTCCAAAACACACACTCACAGAGGAGTCTGCCCATGGTATCTCTGTTCGCTTCTTTAGTATTGCCTTGTCCCAGCCAGCAATGGGCAGCTATCATTCCACCCAGTGTGATTAGATCAGTCAGTCTGTCCAATGCAGAGACTGGGTAAAAAAGGTCCACCTTCAGAGAAAGGGTCCTGCTGCAACTCTGTATGAGTCACTGAGAAGGTGTGCCCCCGTTTCCCATTGTCTCAGGATAGCTCATTATGGTCCTTAAAAAATATTCAGTGCAAGAGTAGTTTGTACCTCCAACTTCAGCTCCGAAAAAAACGTGCTTCAAAACATTATCTTATTTTTTTTAAGCCCTCCTTGTACCCATTGCCTTCTCGAACTTGCTAAAAACTTAGGCCCAATTCACACATGCATATTGATCACTTGATGGCAGCAATATCAAAAGGCTTATTTTACCTGTGAATGAGCCATCACAAGCCAAAGTACAGCTAGAGCTTCTGACGTTGGCTTGGATGCCAAACAACTGGTAGGCACGTACCTTTCAGCTGCAGAGTAGCCTAGTTAACACTGTCTCTTGGAGTTCCACTGTCCTTTGCTCCATCAGTCATGGTTGGCTGGTAAGCACCAAAGAGGATTTATCCTAACACAGCCGTCAAAGTTACTCCCAGTGTAAAACCGAATTCATTTTCACTCTTATTTTCCGATGTGAAGCGTTTCAGCGTAAGGATAAGAAGATGCCGCTCTCCATCCATAGACGACAATAGCCAATGACTGTTTTCCAGTTGAATACCAGAAGTTCAGATTTTGTGCAATGTTGATCTAACAAAGGTGGGCAAGGAGGTGCCCACTTGGTTTTAGAAGGAACATGCCCTCCTGCGAGGCCGAGGGTTGAGGCTCGAAGGGTGTTTTTCTGTTTCTACGAGCAGCTTCCGAAAGCTTTTCTCGCCAGGCCCATCCCGCCCTGTTGGGTTAACCCAGGGGTCGCCAACCTTTTTGAGTCTGCGGGCACCTTTGGAATTCTCACATCATGGGGAGAGCTGCCACAAAACCACTTGAGAGGACAGTTCTCAGCTGCTGCAAGTTAATCACTTCTGCCAGCCTAAGCAGCAATTCTGATCACAAGCCGGCAGGTGGGGGGTGACGACATCTCTAGTCAAGAAAGCTAACACTTGGGCAAGAAAACTCTCTTAA